TCTCTCTCTCTCTCTCTCTCTCTCTCTCTCTCTCTCTCTCTCTCTCATTTCTTCTTTCTCGTGCTTTTTCCCTTTGGTTTTAATCCTTCTTTACAACATGACTAATGTGGAAATATATTTTCAAAAAAGGGGCGGGGCTGGGGAAGTCCTGACATTAGAGGTGCTAGTCTTGAACACCCCATAGAAAGGCAGTTTTGACCCTCCTTCCCTCCTTCACACACCCTCCCTCTCCCACTTAGTGTGATGTAATGTTTCCGTGGGGCTAAACTTCTGTTTTGCTACTGCATAGTTTATAGAATCTTAGGTCTAGAAGAGAGCGCAGAAGTCATCTTATTCTATCTTCTCTCTTTACAGATGAAGGAACCGAGACCCAGGAAAGCTAAGTGACTTGCCTATGCATCAGAGGCAAGATTGGAAGGCAGGGTCTCTTAACTCAAAGCCAGGGCTCTTTCTACTGTGACCATGTTACCTCTTTGGATAATGTTGTTTAGCTACTGCTGGACCACAAATCAGCAAGAAAGCCTCATTGGCCTCAGTCAGATCTCTGGATGCCAGCTGGCATCTAGCCTACTGACTTTCTCATTGGTTCTTTTTGTCCTCCTGTCAACTTCTAGACATAGCTGATTGGCCATGTTTGGAATCTAAATATCTTTCTTCTTGCCCACCCTACTTCCACCCTCCCACCCATCCCCTCATTCTCCCAGACTTTATAAGAATAAGGCATTTTATAATTGGAAATATTATAGGGTATTTACTTTTTAAAAATAGACATATATGCTGCAAAAAGAGTATGAGTTAACAAAGCAGAAAGATTCCTTTTCTCTCTTACTTTAAATAGAATCATTTAAGTGTGAATTCTACGCAAGCCTTAGAAATGGAAAGAGTGACTGGCCTGGAAAATGAGGCAGGATTGAACACACAGTTAAAGATCCTATTGGGAAGCAGTTCAAACAAAGCCCCAAGGCAAAAAGTCAAACTGAGATACACATATGTGACTGTCAGTTTTTGATTAATATGTGCATGTATGTTCTATACATATATGCATATATAACACAGAGATAAATCATTTCCCAAGGAGTCAACTAAAAACTGATCAAGTTGAAAGAGAAGGAAGCTGCTAGAGGAAATTTTAGGGTGAAATTATCTCTCTTGGGATGTTTAAAAAAAGACAAATGGTTATCTATGACTGGGATTCTCTTAAGCCTGGAATCAGGAGTCATTTTTCCACTGGGATTTAATAACTGCTCAATTTTGTCTCCCTTTTCAAAACAGCTCATGAAGGGCAAGAGCTGGGGGAAGGAAGGGGTAAGGCAGATTTGTTTTTGTTGTTGTTTGATTGATGTGTTTTATTTTTACATTACAAACGTTTATGGATTCCCATCCCTGCCCTACTCTATAAGAAGTCTCTTGTAATAAAGTCAAACAATTAAGCTATATATATATATATATTTATATATTTATTCCATATCAGTAGCACTGTCAACCTCTCTATTTTTTGTTTTGTTTTTAATTAACAGAAGTCTATTTTCTCTCCCTCTCACTCCCAATCCTACTGAAAAAAAAAGAGAAGAGAAAAACAAATTTTCTGTAATAATGAATTCCTTCATTGTCTGGATACAAAAAAATATGTGTACATCTCATTCCACACCCTAAATCTGTGACCTCTGTGTCAGGTGGTAGATAGTATGTTTCATTAGTAATCCTTAGGAATCATGGAATGCAGGAAGTGAATATTATGTTTCATCATCAATCCTCAGGAATCATGGATGGACATTGTATTGATCAGAATACTTAAAACTTTCAAAGGTATTTGTTCCTTATCTATTTTAGAAATGAAACCTTCATTAGAGAAACTTGTAAAGATTTTCCCCCAGTTATTTAC